GTTGGGGTGGGGGAGGGGGTACGGGCTCTGGGCTGGGGGTGTGGGCTCTGGGGTGGGACTGGGGATGAGGGGTTTGGGGTGCAGGAGGGGGCTTTCGGCTGGGGGCTGGAGCTGAGGGGTTCGGCGCGTTGGAGGGGGCTCTGGGCTGAGACAGGAGGTTGGAGTGGGGGAGGAAGTACGGGCTCTGGGCTGGGGGGGTGGGTTCCAGGGTGGGGCCAGAAATGAGGAGTTCCGGGGATGTGGGGGGCTCAGGGCTGGTTCAATGGTTGGGGGGTGGTGTGGGGTGCAGGCTCCAGGAGGGAGTTTGGGTGAGGGAAGGGGCTCCAGGTTGGGGCAGGGAGTTGGGGTGTGGAAGGGGGTGCAGGCTCTGAGCAGCGCTTACCTCGGGCGGCTCCCTGAAAGCCGCGACGTCCCTCGGTCCCTAGGTGGAGACGCGGCTGGGCAGCTCTGCGCGGTGCGCTCTGCCTCGGCCCGCAGGTGCCGCCCCCACAGCTGCCATTGGCTGCGGTTCCCAGCCAATGGGAGCTGCGGAGCTGGCGCTTGGGGCGGGAGCGTGGGCAGCACGCAGAGCCCCAGTGGACACCCCTGCGCCTCGGAGCCGCTTCCAGGAGCTGCGTGAAGCCAGGCAGGAAACCTGCCTTAGCCCCGCTGCGCCGCCAACTGGACTTTTAACGGCCGGTCAGTGGTGCTGCCCGGAGCCGCCAGGGTCCCTTTTCGACCAGACGTTCCAGTCAAAAACTGGCCACCTGGCCACCCTATGGCTCTGAATACCCTCACTGGGCCTGCACCCTTCGCGACCCCCACCCCAGTTCTGAATGCCCCCTCACCAGAGCTGTCTCTGGGCCAAGCAGCTGGATTTAGCTCCCTCTCCTCTCCCCCCTCCCCGGCCCGGTGCTGGCTCCCCAGCCCCTTCCTTGGTGCCGGTGGCTGTTCTCTGAGCTGCCCTGGGGTTGCCAGTGGCTCTGTGGCGCTGAGGTGCCAGCTGTCAGAAGGAGGCCCCAGGCGCGGCTGGGCCCAGCACCTCCCAGCTCCAGGCCTCTTCTGTGTCATCCGGCTGGGGCTGTAGGGCGGGCGGGCTGGGCCAGGCCTTTCCACTGTGCCCATCCCGCCTCAGCCCCCGAGCTGGTGCTGGTGGTGGGAGCCGGTGCCAGAGCAGGGCCCTGGGGCAGGGCCTGGGGAGGCGTCCGTAGGGGCAGTGCCCAGGATGGACAGATTGGCATGCCCAAGGCAGTCAAGCGCCGGGGCGGTTTGCTTTGGCGGCGTGCCTCGCACTCCCTGGCAGGGCTGGGGCTGGTCTGGTGCTGTGGGGACATTCACCGCGGGCTCTTGGTCCCCTGCAGCCTCCACAGACAGCGTCCCCCACAACGTCTCGCCATGGGACTCCAACCTCAACGACACGGTCTTCACCGAAGAGATGCCCTTGCTCCCGCAGAGTGCCTCCTCCCCCACCAGCAGGGTCGCCCCCGTCAGCTTCCATATGCCCCCGACCCCACAGGACCCCCAGCGCCCACCGGACGTCAGGCCCAAGGAGATGACGCGCAAGGTCTTCCGAGCCGCCGATAGGCCCCAGACACAAGGGGCCACTTCCAAGCCCAGCCTGGCCAAAGGTAAGCGGCCGCTACTGTGCGGCCTGCGGGTCGTGGTCACAGCAAGAGCCCCAGGCGAACATGGCCCGGCTGGGGAACCCCCGGTGGCTCTGTGGGAACCAGACAGCTGGGAATGAGGTGGCCTGGCTGGTATCTCTGCCTGTGTCCCGGCCCCGGTGCCGTGTCTCATCCAGGGGGAAGTTACCGCACAGCCACGGCCGGGCAGACACGGGGAGGGGTCAGTGTGCACACAGGGCGAGGGAGCCGGGGGCATTGCCATAGAAACGTGGCTTGTTTGCACAGATTCGTGCCTGCCAGTGAGGGTCACCATCCAGCTGATTCCTACTGCTGGCGCCCTGGGGCGGCCGGGGCCAGAGCGGGCGACTCCCTGACCGGCGTTCCTGGGGCCTTGCAGATCACAACCAGCTAACCTGGGAACGCATCGTGGGGGAAATCGCCTTTCAGCTGGATCGCAGGATCCTCTCCAGCATCTTCCCCGAGCGTGTGCGGCTCTACGGCTTCACCGTCAACAACATCCCTGAGAAGATCATCCAGGTAGGAGAGCAGCCCAGGGGTGGGCAGGCCTGGCTCTGCAGCTGGCACGCTGCTAACGCTGGCCTGTGCGCGGAGCTGCGACCCTGGGGTGCTCCATCTCACCAGGACAGGGACAACAAGGTGCTTTCTGCTGGAGCTGAAGCCAATGGGGGCCCCCTCTTGTGTGTACCCCAAGTGCCAGAGGGTGGGGCTCATTACCTACCCTGGGCCATTTCCAGCCTGCTGGCGAACGCCAGCCCAGGCAGCTGGATCGTCTCATCAGCCCCAGAGCAGCCTGGCAGGGCAGGGTAAGCTCCCCACAGCGCCCTGCCCCTGGGCGAGAGGGGAGGGTCCAGCTCTTGCTCTGCGGCACAGGCAGCCTGGGGCAGCTCGGAGGCCCCAGATAGGGGCACATTATGCGCTCCCCAATGGGTCGCGATGGGGTATGGCCAGGTGGATGCCTGGCCACTAGAAAAGGGGCTGAGAATCCACCTGCCCATCTCACGCAGGGCCCCTTGGAGGGTCAGGGCTGTGGGTCACAGCAGCGTCAGCAGGGGTTCAACAGGGCCCTAGAGGCAAAGTGCCCAGCCCCATGCCCAGCCCCCTAAGATAGAACGCTTCACCTGCCGCAGTCTGCGGGTGGGGAGAGGTGGGACTAGCCAGGGCTGCCCCGTGCAGACAAGGGCTGCTTAGCTTCGTAGACCCGAATGGCTGCACCAAGGGGCCAGCGCCAGGGCGCGACCCACGCTGCTGACGGGGCCACACCTGGGCAGACAAACCGCGGGGAAGGTTCCCCGAGCATCAGGCAGCTCCATCTGGCAGGGGGACAGATCCTCTGGGGAGCGTCTCCTAGGGAAAGGGTAGGAAGCCATGGCCACTGCGTTCACAGCCAGAGCCGCCCGACCTCAGGCCGAGCCTGCCCAGGCCCTGGGCTGCATGGACGGGACGGGCACTGACAGAAATGTCCCCCTGAAATGTACACGGCCCTTTGAACTAGCCCTTCCCGTCCTGTGGCCATGCTCCAGGGACAGGCCCTGTTGTAGCAAGGCAGCTCCCCAGCCCTACCAGCCCCAGCTCCCCAGAGGGGTAGCCCCTGGCCCAGCTAGCCCCCAGCCCAGCCCACCCAGGCTCACGGCTCCCCTGCGGGGCAGCTCCCAGCCCAGCCAGCCCTGGCTCTTGGCTACTGTGACAATGTGGTTCTGGCGGAACCCAACTGAGAGTGCCAACTCAGGACAAATTGCTCAAACAGGGCGGTTACAGCCCAAGGCTGGGGTTTTTCCACCTCTAAGGCAAACCAAACCAGCCAGACTAGGAGGACTTCGGTCTCACCCCACTGGCTAACTGCAAGTCTCACAAGCAATCTCCTTAGACACTCCAGTTTCCCAGTATCACCACCAGTGCCACTCGTTATGGGGACAAATGGTTATGAAAACCAATACGCCAATAAAAGTTAAAGTCTCGCCTGATCAAAGAGGACCAA